ACAGAGTAAAACTCTCTCTACACTGTCCCCCATCAAATACTCCCAGGGATAGGGACAGCACGGGCTTAGGTACAGAGTCCCAGGAGAAGGTGTGAGACAACTTGACCAATGTAAAAGTTGACTCAGAGAGCTGTGCAACTTCTCCACTGGAGGGCAGCGTTATTGTTGGTTGATGGACAGAACAGGAAAGATAAAAAAAACCCCGCTCTAACTGACAAACCTGTTTGAATTCAAAAGTTTCTGTTGCGGCGTTGGTTAATGCTTTGCTGGCCAGAAAGGTCTTCTTCTTAAAGGGGATTTTCGCCGGTTTCCTAAATCAGTTTGCAAATAAAAAGCCACTGCAGAGGCAGCCAGAAAACAAAATAACCACAGCAACAGCCCACCAGTGACTTTGAAAAAGTTGCACCCCTTAAAAGGAAGTTTTGTCTTGTTTTGGTGGGGAGTGGGACAAGAATTGCTCTTGTATTGCAATGCCGAGGAAGGTCCAGGAACATCGAAGGAGGTCGAAGCGTCTGAAAGAGCAGGTATGCGAATCTTTGAGAGAGACTGGCGTAAAAATTAATTCGAGCAGAAAATGCAAAAGTGAAAGCATTTGTATTACAAAAAAAGTGCTGCTGGGGACTGAACGTAGTTCAACTGCACGCCTCAGAACTGTGACCTAAATTTGTAGATCGCCCTCCCCAAAACCTCCAGCATTTGTGAAATTAGCCAGTGAAATCTAATGTCATTGCGTCCCCATGTCTAGTACCTCCTACTGTGTTTGTCTGTGTGTCCTAACCCTCGGATGGTATTTTAAGGAGACAAGGTAACACAGTAATTAATGCGCATCCTAAGTTTTATTTTGTCAATATCAGCGCCTATTGCAACATTTTAACTGTGTCAGTTTCCAATGCTGACAAAATTCCCTAAAGCATGTGTGTTTAAAAATAGAAGTAAGCGACCGAGAGAGTCGGGAATTCACCCCACCCCTAAATGCTGCATTAGCTTGACCGAAATGTTACACTTCAAAACTTTTATTTCTCCAAGGCATCCCGGAAGTGGACACATCATTCACAGTTCAGTTTCTGATCACTTTTGGCGCCAAAAAAAAGTGAATGAAAAATGAATTGTCCCCTTTCTCGATCGCAAAGAACAAAACAACACAACAGCAACAACTAAATACCCTTCACATTGCAGCAGACATGGCCAGTTGGCAGACTGAAGTGAGGGGCCTGGATAAAGGTGCGCAGGGAGAAAGTGTGCAAGGATCGCGATTTCAGACACCCACCGTTTTAAATTGTTTTGGAAACGAAACAAGGTCATTGCGAGAAGGAACTTTATCTTTCTTCACACAGGGAGTGGTTACAGTCTGAAAGGTACTGCCTGGAAATGTGATGGTGGCAGGTTCAGTTGAGCATTTTGATATTGGGGGGGGGGGGGGGGTTGGTTAAAGAGAGCTAGTCCAGAACACGACGGGCTGAATGGCATCTCTCCACACTGCAGGGATCGACGCCGTTCGCCTCATCAAGCGTGCACTGACCCTCTGAAGACTATCCCACCCAAAACCAGCCCCCCATGCCCCCATCTATTCCCATAACTGGACATTTCCCATGGCTGACCCAATCTGGCCTGCACATCCCTGGACACATTTCCCATGGCTAACCCAATCTAGCCTGCACATCCCTGGACACATTTCCCATGGCTAACCCAATCGAGCCTGCACATCCCTGGACTCTACGAGTAATTTAGCACAGACAATCCACTTATGGCCTGCACATCTTTGGACTGTGGGAGGAAACTAGAGCACATGGGGAGAATGTGCAAACTCTACACAAGACCGTCGCCCGAGGGTGTAATCGAACCTGGATCCCTGGCACTGTGAGGCAGCAGCGCTAACCACTGAGCCACCACATCACCCCTACATTGCTGAGATAAAGTTGCATTGGAAAGCGCCGAGCCAAGGAAATGTTTTACCATGAAAAAGAGATGTCCTGTATTTCCTGTTCTGGGTGCAGGTTCCAGAGCAGGGTGAGATGGAAGCCGAGGGGCAAGAGGAAGTAGATTCCCAGTCAAGGGGAATGTTGATCCTGACGCCCAGGAATCCCATCCGAGGGAGCTCCAGACTGCTGAGGAGCAGTGCGACCGCAGGGTTAGAGGAGCAGGCTGAGCCGGTGAGTATAGAGGGTACTAAGGTGGTTGGAGGTCATGCCAGGAACTTCATTGTAAGCAAATTAATGGGCTGCTCTGAGAAAAAGACACAAGGAATTCAGCAGGGGATTGATTTCTATTTGGTTATTCTTTAATGGGATGTGGGTATTGCTGGCATTTATTGTTCATCCTTAGTTGCCCTTTGACCTGAGTGTCTGGCTTGGGCTATTTCAGAGGGGCAGTTAAGAGCTGACCATGTTGCTGCAGGTCACCAGTAGGCCCAGACCAGGTAAAGGGCAGCTGCTTTCCCTCCCTAAATGGACATTAGTGACCCAGATGGGCTCTTTCAGAGAATAGAACCCCTACCGATATGGAAGCAGGCCATTCGGCCCAGCCCGACCCTCTGAAGGGTATCCCACCCAATTCTGTAACCCTGTATTTCCCCAATCCATCCAGCCTGTGTGTTATTGGACTGTGGGAGGAAACCGAGCACCCGGGGGAAGACCCACACAGAAACGGGGAGAAAGTGCAAACTCCACACAGTCACCCGAGGGTGGACTCGAACCTGGGTCCCTGGTGCCGTGAGGCGGTAGTGCTAACCACTGAGCCACTGTGCCACCCATTTTAATGACCATTGACAATTAAGTCACAGGTGCCATTACCAAGACCAGCTTCCAATTGCAGATTTTAAATTGAATACAAGCAAAGATTTTGGAGATGGGTTTTGAATCTTGCCACCTAGCCCCCTCACCAGTCCAGTGAGATGACTATTACACCTCTGCCTTCTGCTGCCATTTTCACCTCCTCTAGATCTGCCTCTGTTCCTTTTCCATCTCCTTCTGCTTAGCTCTATCATCCCTATTCACACATCAAACTCTTCCCAGTTCTGATGAAGGGTCCTTGGAATGGAATGTTACTTGTTTCCTTGTCCCATACAGACTGGCAGACCCCCCACTCCCTATCCCCCAGAGCATTTCTAGCCCATTTCATTTTTCTTCTGATTTATAACGCCCCCAGTTATTTCAGTTTTGTGAACAATTTATGAAAATGCTGGTCTTTTCTTTATTTAATAAGGTTCTGATGATCATCACTGAGGCAGATAATTTGCTCGTTAATCACTGTGTGTGGGATCTTGCTGTGCATGGCCAGTGCATTTTCTGACATCATCAGCAAATGGCATTGGGACATCCTGAGGTTGTGATAGGTGCTACACAATTGAGTTTGGCTGTTGAGATAGAGAGGGAGATGTTAACAGGCCCTATCATTCCAGATAGTATCCCGGTCTCTGGCTGGACGGATATTAGGGGGATGAGTTTAAAACAGGTCGGGTTAGAGGATTTAGGTAATGTCTCAGGGCAGGGGGAGAGAGAAGCTGTCTGCCTGATGTGTAACGATGCAGGTTTGTGTTATGACTGGGCGTAAACCTTCCAGAGCCTCTAAGATCCCCTCCTTATCTCATTCGCCTCCTCCAGGCCCTACAATCCCTCTCCCTATCTCTGTAAACGCCTCCAGCCCTTACATCTCTCTCTATCTCTGTAACCTGCTCCAGTCCGTATACTCCTTGCCTATCTCTGTCATCTCCTTGAGCCCCTAAACACACTCCCTATCTCTTTCAACTCCCCAAGCCCCTACACCTCTCCCTATCTCTGTAACCTCCTCCAGCCGCTACACCCCTCCCTTTCTCTGTAACCTCTTCCAGCCCCTACATGCCTCCCTATCTCTGTCACCTCCTCCAGCCCCTTACACCCCCTCCCTATCTCTGTCACCTCCTCCAGCCCCTTACACCCCCTCCCTATCTCTGTCACCTCCTCCAGCCCCTACATCCTCTCCCTATCTCTGTCACCTCCTCCAGCCCCTACACCCCCTCCCTATCATCCCCTCCAGCCCCTACACCCCTCTCCATCTCTGTAACTTTCTATAGTCCCTACAACACTCCAAGATATCGGCATTCCAATTCCGGCCTTACGAGCATCCCTCAGTTCCTGTGACTGGGTTTGTTGGCCATTCCTTCTGCTTCCTGGGACTCTAAGCTCTGGATATCCCTCCCTAAACCTTGCTGCCTGTCTCTCTCTCTCTTCCTTCTCCTTTAAGACTCTCATTAAACCAACCTCTTCAAACAAGACTGCTCCTAATAGCTCTTCGTGCGGCCCAGGGCCAAAATTTGTTGGGTTACGCAGCCAGGAGGATGTTATGTCAGGTAAAGGTGCTATATAAATGCACATTGTCGTTGGTTTTGTTTCATATCTCCATCTTTCCTTACACCTGACTCGGTTCTACAACCTCCTACAGCTGTGTTCCACTTTGATGTATTGCTGTACTTTTTTTTCCCAGATAGAGCTTAGCTGTTGATATCGCACATCAGCATTGTTACTATTCCTGTTGCGGGGGAATCCACTCAGACACAGTCAGTAGTATGTGCAGATGGTGCCCTCTCCTGGTGTGTGGAGGTTTAGCTATCATAAGAAAAGTCCTATTCTCACCCACCAACTCTCCCATCTAATCCCTTCTCTCTCTCCCTCTTTGTATTGTCTTTTTCACTCTGTCTGTCTCTCTTGGTTTCTTGCTCTGTCTGTGTCTCTTTGGCTGTCTGTCTGTCTCTCTGTCTGTGTCTGTCTCTCGGTCTGTGTCTGCCTGTCTTTATCACCGCCAGTCCTATCCAATGAGCCCGACACCTCATTCCCAGCTGTCAGTCATGGTTTTTCTCATGGAAAGGGAATTGAGTACCTACTCCAGATACTTTGCTGATACTTCCTGTGCCATAGTCAGCACTGTCGGAGGGTCAGTGCTGAGGGAGCGGGCACTGTCGGAGGGTCAGTGCTGAGGGAGCGGGCACTGTCAGTGTGTCAGTGCTGAGGGAGCGCCGCACTGTCGGAGGGTCAGCGCTGAGGGAGTGGGCACTGTCGGTGGGTCAGTGCTGAGGGAGCGCCGCACTGTTGGAGGGGTAGCGCTGAGGGAGTGCCGCACTGTCGGAGGGTCAGCACTGAGGGAGCACCGTGCAGTCGGAAGGTCAGTGCTGAGGGAGCGCCGCACTGTCAGAGGTGTCATTTTTCAGATGAGACATTAATTTGCGACCCCCAATACCCTCTCGTGGGGCCAATGTTTATCCCTCAACCAGCATCACTAAAAACAGGTGATCTGGGTCATTCTCACATTGCTGTGCGTGGAATCTTGCTGTGCTGAGTAGCACACGTTTTTAGAGTAGGTTCGTTTTGTGTGAATGGTTCCGGAGTGAGGATGTCCTTTCTGTCCCAGATTGGAGGGGGGGTGATGGGGGTGAGCGATGGTTTGAGGACCCATTCTGACACCTGAACTCTCTCCTGCATCTCGCTTCTGTAACATCTCAGAGCACAGTAAAAGAACCAAAGCAGCTCATTTCAGATCGGGTCATGTTCCATCAGGTAAATTTGAAGCCGCTTCAGGTTATTCTGCAGAAGGTGAAGGCAGACATAGATTTGAAGAGAAAGAAGAAGAAGAAGAAGAAGAAGGAGGAGGAGGAAGAGGAGGATGAAGAGGAAACGAAGGAGGAAGGGGAGAATGGAGCTCAGCAGCAGGACACCCCCAGAAGCATCACGCCCCCTCTGTTGGTCAAGGTTAGTATTACAATGTTCTGGGCTTGAAGTCCAGGCCCCTGGTCACTGTGGGAGATGGTCGATGATTGTGACGGACGATAGAGGTCTAGGACACTGGGTATCAGTGGAGTCCCACAGGGATGGCTGTGAGAAAAATACCTCAACTTTACAACTCTCCCGCTGGTTTTCAAATCCCTCCCTGCTAAACCCTTATCTCAGTAATGACCCCTATACCCTGCACCCCTCCCTAGCTCGAGGATCTCCAGCCCCTACACCCCCTCCCTATCTCTGTCACCTCCTCCAGCCCCCTACACCCCCTCCCTATCCCTGTAATCTCCTCCAGAACCTACACCCCCTCCCTATCTCTGTAACCTCCTCCAGAACCTACACCCCCTCCCTATCTCTGTCACCCCCTCCAGCCCCTACACCCCCTCCCTATCTCTGTAACCCCCTCCAGCCCCTACATCCCTCCCTAACTCTGCCACCTCCTCCAGCCCCTCCACCCTCTCCCTATCTCTGTTACCTCCTCCAACCCCTACACCCCCTCCCTATCTCTGTAACTCCCTCCAGCCCCTACAC